GTGAGCGAGAAAAGGAAACTGGTAGAAGTGGAGTCATTTATTGGTACTAAAGTGTGATGCCCATTTTCCACCGGCAGTTCCTCATCAGAAAACACCAGAATAACAACAATCGCTTTTTAACTGCCATTGCTTTCTTTTGCATCCTGTGAGCAAGAAATCCCATCATGCATGTTCTCTCCTCATATATATTTTGATGAAAAGAGGCACCTACGTCTGCATGAAGTCATGAAAATAAATACATTTTAGGCTACTTTTTTCAAAGAATTTTAATGAATATACAAATTAATAAAAATACATTTTATTCATTTTTTGTAACAAATCGTTCATTCATTTATTTTTAACACCGCACCCCCAGCACCCCCATTTTTTCATGGGCTACACTCCAGGGGGTGCTGCAGCACCCCTACTTCCCGCAGTAATGCATTTAGCGTTCGTGAGCACCACCAAGACGTAGTTTTGCATTACAGTAGTGGCTCTGGGCATGTGACCAAAAACACAAATCTTACTGGCTAGCCAGTTTTATTTGCAGTGCAGTGTAAAAGAGATTAGAAAACCTTTCTGTAAAAAAAATCCGACACTGATGTCATGCAAATGTTCATGTTGGTCTGAACCGAGACCAAACCAAACGTTCACGCTGAATATTCATCTTGATGTAAACAGGCATTTACTCATGGAACAACAGAACTTCTTCAGCTAATCATACACATAAACGAGACTAATTATTCTGTAAGTGAAAATTACATCCTGAAAATGGTATTAAGGGCCGGCATTCACACCAAGTACGATAACAAACACTGTAAGCTTTAATAATCATTCTAATTCAGCGAGAATAGTGCAGTTCACACCACAACTAAAACGATAACGACACAGTGGAATAATATAATTGGGATCACTTTCAGAACAATTTCTTTTCACTTGATGAACAATGTAAACATTAACAGCCAATCAGAATCCACTCGACTTTAAAGAGCTTCAGCATTTAAAGCGACAGACAACAAAACCGCAGTGCACTTACAACAAACATAACCTTATCGAGCTTTGATGTGGATGCTAATTTAGGCTACATTCACACTGCGAGCCTTAGTGCTCAATTCCGATTTTTTCACATTGTTCACATTGTTGTTTTAAATGTGGCCAATACCAGATTTCCAGTGTGAACAGATCATGGTTCTGAACTGACCCGCATGCGCAAAAGAACGATACAAATAGGGTTTCCAGGTTTTCACAAAAAAATCTGCCCAATTGCCTCTCAAAACTAGTCCAAAATTAGCCCAACCATGTTCAGGTGGGGTAAATATTGCATTAATGGGGTCGCGTCAGCCCACAAAGTTGAAAAACAACCATCGGCAACAGTAGAAAAAGTTGAATTCAGAATTCCGCGGGGAAACTGTGGATTTGGCAACACTTGCGCAGCACGCTGTCATACGGAAGTAAACATGGAGGACATTAAGTAAGCAATTATGCGTTTATTTATAGTGTGATATGCTGCAGAAGCCAGCGAAACTATGCACAGACAATATGAAAAATAATGACAAGGATGTGACAAAAGACAGCAGAGTTCTGAAACTTTTATGATACGAGCTAATATTTTGCTTGTATATGGAGTTGTCACTATAATACTTATGAGTTCTGGCACATCACTGTACTTCCACTGACTACCTTTCGCAACTGTCTTGATAACTTTGGGGATGTAAAATCTTTGAAGTGTCTCCCGTCAGCGTGGAATTATGACGAATGTCGATCTAGAGCGACGTAAAAGTCACATGAATTCCGACATGACTGTTCAAAACATCTGACCTGTATCGGATTTAGCACCACATATGGAAGTGGCAAAAATCGAAATTGAAAAGATCAGATTCCATGTGGTTTGTGCTGTTCACACTGTCATGACAAAAACAGATCTGAGTCACATGTGAGCAAAATTTTTGCGAATTTGGGACACATTTGCCTGCAGTGTGAACGTAGCCATAGTTATCATTCTTGCTGTGAAAGGGCCTTTACATTAAACAGCCCTTAAAACTGGCTTCACACCACAAGAGAAGCTTATAACCATCTTAAGGGCCAAAATTTCGAGATGGTCCTCACTGCAGAACACAAGATCCAGGGGGCGTGGTTGGATCCAGATCCAACTCCTCCCACCTTACATATACCTAAACCTACCCGTCTCAACCCGTTGATCCCTAAACCTACCCATCTCCACCCCTAAACCTACCAATCTCCACCCCTAAACCCACCCATCTCCACCCCTAAACCTACCCATCTCCACCCCTAAACCTGCCAATCTCCACCCCTAAACCTACCAATCTCCATCCCTAAACCTACCCATCTCCACCCCCTAGATGTGGATCCAACCACACCCCCTGGATCTTGTGTTCTGCAGTGAGGGGCTACTGAAAATGTCCTCAAGACCACTGCAATCGAACCAGTTTTGGATTATGACCGTTTCGGCACATGATGGAACACCAATCTGAGATGGTTAGCTCACTAAAGCACATGTTTTTTTTGGGTAACCAGTGCACTTACAGCGTGTCCATCCTCGTGCTCCACCTTATAGCGTCTGGGCAGCGTCTCCACCTCTCTGATGTCATCTATCGTGATGTCATTGGGAAACACAGCAAAGAGTGAGGTCACATACATGATGATGGACTTCTTATCCGGCAACTGCACCGCCACATCTGAGAAACACAGAGAGAAAGAATGAATATGAATATGGGTGTGTGTGTTTATGGAGTTGCTCTATGAGGCCCCTCTGATTAGTTATGGCTCATGTGAACTTGTGTTCAGGAAAAGACATGTAATCCAATCAAGTCCAGATGATTAGTCTCAGGATCTGGGCTCTGGAATGTGCTGGACACCGTTTGTTGACTGGCATTGTTTTATTGGTTTGATTCCCTGCTTCAGGCGTAAACAACAAACTGACAAGATCTCCAAACAAGGCCAACATCACGTCAGCTGAAGATAATGGTCAAGAACGCTAATAAGTCCATTAGGGCTGTACAAATAATAAAAATAAAAATAATCAACTTCGCAAAATGGCTTAGTGTGATTATCAAATTGCAAAGACTGCAGTTTAATAAAATAAGTACATGTGCTGAATGTTTTATAGTGAAGCGCGGCTCTGTGTTCATTTACATATGAGCAGCTCATTATCTGCCATTATAACATGCGTTTGGGAATGCAACATGTGCAATCATCTTCTCAAACTTTTAATGAGAAACGCTCATCAAAGAAAAGGCAAGCTTTAAGGGCTCTCAATTGTATTAGTCACCAATGGCTTAATGTTTGAAAGTTAAGACAGAAATATTAGTACTGTAATTTTACAGCTGTAATATGATGCATTATATTGTTGTTCCCAAATGCTTGATTTTTTAAATTATTTTACAGGGAAATATTACAATAGTCATTTTATATATATATATATATATATATACAAAAATGAAAACGTTACGGTACCAGGTTTTCTTAAGTACCGGTGGTACCCGGTCAACCCGGTTCTTGATGCACTATCCGAAAGCTATCCTCTTCCAGTGTTGCCAAGTCCGCGGTTTTCCCGCGGAATTGGGCTGCTTTAACACTGTTGC